CACTTCGGATGTTGTCTCAGCCGCTACGCCCGCCCGCCCCCCCCCCGAGGCGCAGCAACGCGCTGGTCAACCTTACTTATTGCGATGCTCCAATCGCTCTCGCAGGAAGGCACACGCGCACAACAACGAGTCGCTTTGTGGCGATCGAGCATCAACAATAACAACACCCATCGGGAATGCAACAGACTGGCTCGCTATCGCAACTGCATGCCCTCAGCGCTGAGGCAGCGACGCTGACGCTGACGCTCGTGCTCGAAGGCGCCGCGTCTTCTCAGCATTACGTCAATCGTAGGAGGTTGCGGTAGGACTTACTCGGCCAGACAATTGCACTTTGGCGCGCGCCACCCACGCCATTCCACAAAGAGTCACAGATGTAATCACGCCAGAGCATCGATACGTGAACCGTAAGTCGCGAGAGGGCGTACTCAGCTCATCTCTTCAGAACACCAGCACACTCTCGACGCTGATCGCCGCCCAAGTGCAATTGTGTCTTGGCATCGTCTCCGCCTGCATGCACCGCGCTATACTGCTCACTCAATCCAGACGCAGAGCAGACCACGTAGCCCCGCGTCTATCTCCAAGCGTCGCCTCTCACGATTCTTTCAACAGCGAACGACACTCCGCCACAGTCGCTAGTGACACAATCAAACGAACACACGCCCGAGGTTGGACGCTACAACCAATCACATGGAATTCCACTCAGCGCATCTCTCGCCTCCCAACGCGTCGTCGCAGCTCATCACATCACGTCCACGTTGGTGCGGTCCGGCCTATGGAGCGTGCGGACTCTCCTTGGTTGGTGAGGGGACAGTGCCAGGTGCTTCTCCGGTGCGATTGCCCAAAGTCCCATCATCGCCTCCACCGACCGTCTGCAGCTCGTGCGGCGGGCTCGCATTGGACTTTGGCGACGGAGGCGCCGGGGCGACCTTTTCCACGCCGTGTTCGTCGAGCTCCGACCCGTGTGGGTGGTGAAGATCTCCACCAGGATTATTCGATTCAGGGGTCGGCGGACTGGGAACGGCCTTTCCTTGTATGGTGTCATCTGGACGTGGCGGATGCTTCTTATCCTGTCCCGGCGTGTTCGCTTGAGGTGCTGGGTTCCCACCGATGGGTCGCTTCTGCGTGCCACTCTCATGCTCCAGCTCATTGATACCTCCTGGAGGGCCAAAATGTGGCGAAGCATTCTCGTCAGGATACTTGGTGGGCGAGGATGGCAGAGGCACATTCTGCTGCGGCGACTCATGCGCCGCGCCTGGCGGGACAACGACAAGGTCAATCGTCTCGGGTTGGAGACGGGCGAGACATGGTGATCTCTCTTGCACTCACCGTGCTGCTCTTGAGCTTTGCGTGCCTCTCTCATGGCTGCAGCTTCTGATGTGGCGGAGACGCGCAAGCTAAGTACGAGTCAGTCGTCTCGTCTGAAGCATGCACTTCTGCTGCTGTGGTCCCGGCAACGAGCGTTCAAGACGAGCGTTCACTCCGACACTCACGTCGCTCCACGTCCGCTCGCAGTTTCGCAAGTTCGCGATTCTGCTCGCGCTCATGATCAACAATTTCATGGGTACCCACCCCAGTGGCGGTGCCAACAGCAGCCAGACCGCTTGACAAGAAAGGGAGTTCTCGTCAGTTCCTCTCACAATGCTACAACTACTCGAGAGAGTCCATCGGATACTCACGTGCTGTACAAGATGATCTTCTTGAGTCTGCGCTTGCCAGTCCCCGGCACGTAGCCCCCGCGAAGTGGGCGCGTCTCTTCCTCGTAGATTGCCGCTGGCTCATTGACGTGCTGCGAGTGGACGCGATGACGCAGACCCCCGCCGCGGACAAAGTCGCTGATGGTCTCGATGACTGGTGGCGCACGGGTCTGCAGATGCACAGGAAGCGCAGACACTTCCTTGGAAAGGCAGATGGCGAGACCAACGAGCGTCGACAATAGAGCTTTGTTTTGCATCTTGAAATCAAACTTGAGCCGAAGCGGCCTGCGCTGGTAAGAGGTTGTAAAGAGCAAAATGTTGCAGGAATTTGCCAAGTGTTGCCCGCGAGACCAGCTCGGCGAACAAGGCTGCTGAATGTTGAGGGGAGTGTTCCTTCTGCTGCCATTTGTGAAGCTGCCTTTATAGGTTCTCTTCTGCACACAAAACTGGCCATAGCCTCTCTCAACTTTCCTTCGACATCAGTTCTGGTGTCTGCTCCTGATCATCAGCTCAAACGAGTAGCCAGAAGGGCCTCAAAGTTGACACCTTTTCGGTCGCATTTGTGGCAAAGGCTCATGGTGTGGAAAGATAATTGAGTGCTTCGCTTCGCGTGGAGCCTGTGGTATGGCCGTGATAACCGAGAGGTTACAAGACACTTGACCAAGGAAGCATGACCAGCATAGAGAGATGTTGAGGCCTCTGCAAGGTGGCGATCGGAACGTGACCATTACGTGCTCAGCAAGAAGGTGTACCGTCCTACAAGCGAGACTTTGCGCCATATGCGAGGTTGTTGTCTCACACACGCCCATAACTCCCCGCGGAAGCGTAAGCCTCTTCATGTCGATGCACAAAAAGGTTTCTCAGCCAGTCCCTTGAGGGGGCCAAAAGCTTCAACGCGCTCTGCTCGCCACGAAATACTGCTTCCAGTTCACATGACTGCGAAGGTCTCCGGCGACCAACTTCCGAAGACGCAGCCTTGAAGGTGACGCCTGCTCATCATTAGACCGTACATCACATCGATCCGTGGCTGGTATGCGCCGTTCTCCTGCTCGCACGGTCATCAGCTGCGGCGAACATCTCATGAGGCCTTCTCTTCTTACGGAACGACACGATTTGCCTGGAATGCGTCAAACGTCTGTCGGCTTTCAGCATTTATCTCATCGCGACCTTTCCCACTTTTGTACTCTAGCCTTCTAACGGCCAAGCCTGGTTCTCGTGACAGAAAAGGTGTGCCGAATTAATAATTCTTCGTTCATTCCTTTCACGAGTGATCGTTTTGCTCTAATTATTCCAAGCTTTTCTCGAGAGCGCAATTCTTTTCAAATGGACATCCGCACGTAGGGCACAAATACTTTCAACCCCGCCCGCATGTCGTGATGGACCCGTGAGTCAATCAATGCACGACGCTCAGGTTGCCTGACACAGCATAGCTCACAAGGTAACAATCGTGATCAATTTGACGCTCTCTTGTCTTGTCATCGAGCTAGCAGCCTCATGCCGCAGACGCTTGCGAGTAAATTGCGACAACCACAAAAAGCCGTTGCGCGTTCGCATTCGGGTTGAAACCAGCTTCGCGACCTTACGCGAAACCAGAAACCAACTTCCCACGAGTGTGCACGATGTATCTGGTGTGGTAGTCACAGGACGGAGAAACTGGCACATTCAGAATGATCATCGAAACCACATCAGGAAAAGTGATGTACAACCCAGCTTGTGTGGATGTCGAGGCACGCCTGGGGATCAGTGGCAGTTGGAAAAGGCGGAAAGGGAGTGAATGGTTAATGATTCATTCGTGTTCTGAATGTTCCCAAAGAGACCATTGGCTCACAAAAATTTCACGCCGCCAGCGACAGTCGTACCAAGACGAGGATTTGTAATTCATGGATGAGAATTCATACCTCTTCTCCACAGGGTATGCACACCTCTCTCCGTGCATGTCTTCGTCGAGATGACTTTGCGATCGATCGCGGAGGCGGCGTTCGGTTAATTTGCCTTCCATTAGATGTACCTCTAGTGCCCGTTGAACGATATGTCTCTTTTGGTTCCTTCGCCTCACAGCACTTCTACGCCCTGATAAAGCTCCAGAAGGTCTTGATTTCCTTTTTTTTCTTCTTTTTCTTCCAGAAAAAGGTGCAGAGAGGTTTATTTAACCTCTGCAGCTATCATGAGCGGCTTCATCGCCCAAATCAGACACTACTTCTTAGAGTTCAACACCTGTCGAGACGACGATCCCAGCTCGTGTGTCCGCATGATAATTCAACGTGTGTCAGAAGCGCATGCGTGATTGCTCATCGACACTCTAATGGTGAGCGACAAATTTTGTTGGTTTGACGGTTGCGCTGAGACTCCGCCGGTGCTCAAGCACAGCATCGTTGCGCTGAGACTCCGCCGGTGCTCAAGCACAGCATCGAACGATGTAATCAGTGACCTCTGCTCGGGCAGGCTACCAGACGATTTGGTGGCTTAACACGTTTGCCTGCCTCTGTTGACACCTCCATCCAAAAGCTTGAACGGTGGGTTGAAAGTAAGGAGCTTGAGTGCATGTGCATTGGAATTGAACACGATACGCAGCGAGACAAAAGGTTTTGCAGTGCATTTGATTCTCGCATCATCGAAGGGGCTTCAGCGCAAGAGCACTTTTCTGCACATGCCTCTTGGTGCGGCCGCGAGACAAACGCACGGCACTGATGGCGCGAAAGCAGTCTCCCAAAGCCTTTAGCCAAGCATGTTCCGCAGTGTTGGTATATCGTAAAAAATTGCCGCGCAAGTCGCGAGCCACCAAAATTAAGAGAGAGAGCTACACTCAAACACGGCTTGATGCTGTACAGCCGAGATGCAGGTGCAATTGAATCTGTACATGAATGGAGGCCAATCGCATGTGCGAAGAGCGCTTCACAAATCTGACGCCGCCTAAAGCATGACTTTCGTTTCACAGACAAAGCGATCCGTATACCCCTCTCGCTAAGATCGCAATGTGACAGAAATTATACTCGCCACTCCTTTCATTCGTCACCACATCTGCCAGGCAGTAATCTGCAGTCTTTTGGCGCGTTGGCATCACGCATGGTCAACGTTGGTAAGCTTTGAGTCTTTTTCTTTTTCAGAGCAATCAAATGTTGGGAGATGTTTCTACTACCCGACGAATGCAAACAGGGTCTTGGTCAATTTTACGTGCTATACTGTGGCACTCAATTGCGCGAGTTTCCTTCGGGCGAAATCTTGTCCGTGAGTCGAAAGTCGGTGCTAGCGCCAGGCCCAGGCCAGTAGAGACGCATGTCGCACTTGTTGGTGTACCAGCCCTTTGGTCAATTCAGCTCCGCCTCCATCTCTGGAGTCAGCTCTACCCCTTCCATTGAGCCTTGCAATATCTCCATGGCCATTTCTGGGTGTCCCCAGCAATGCACCTTGAATCGCAGCGCTCCATTCTCCTCCAGGATGCGCCTTGGTCACTCCCTTGTGCCTTGCCCTTTGAACCCCGCCAGCCAAATTTTTTGCTGGATGGGGCTGCCCTCCAAGATATGCCTTGGCACCCTCTTTGCCTTTTCTCACTCCTTGTGCCCCTCATTCAGCCTCTTTACTGCGTCCATGTCCAACTCGCCCAGATGATCAGGCCACGGCGCTCCAAATTCCTTGTGCAGCTTTGGATCCGCGGGTTTGATGGCCAGTCGCGCCCATTTGATGTGCATCTTGCACGCCTCATTGTAGTACTCTTGCTTGCGCTGCTGCGTCTCTGTCAACTGTTCCTTCAGCACAGAGGCCTCTCCTTTGTCTGCCTCAAGCTTGCTCTTCGCAGTCCATAGTTCCTTTTTGAGAGTGTTGGGCTGGCCAGCAACAGAAGTACAGCCACACTTGGCCTTCTGCCGCGCCTCCTCAATTTGTGCTTCCCTTACAAGCGCCGCCTTGTGGCTCATTCTGGCGCCGACGACTGCAATTGCCACGTCTCATCTCAAGCGAGCGTTCTGGACCTTTAGCTTTTGCATCTTGTCGTAACACCATCGAACCTCGCCAATTGTCTGGCAGACTGGAGAGGCTGACAGTGACAGACGGAGCGGTCTTTACTCTACGTCACCCAGCGGGGCTCCGGTCTACGGCTACAGTGCCTCTGCGGTTAAAGACGCGCGATATGAGTTTATGATCTCTGCGCTGTCACGCAGCGCACGGAATTCTCTTGAACCCGCATCATTCTCTTGCTAAAAGACTCGCAACAGAAAAACAAAAGAGAAGGAAAGAACGAGCGAAAAGAAATTTTGCTCCTATGGATAGCTTAAATTTAGCGCCTTTTGCTCACTCCGATTAGACTTTCATGAGCGTGCCAGCAGGGAGCCCAAGCTTTGCAACACTTTCTTCGACAAACAACGTGCGTTTTGAACTTCTAAAAAGCGAGCAGAGCTTGCGAAGACTACAAAAGCGTCTGGAACGCTGATCTTTCTCATCAGCAGACGGCACACGTTTGAACACCTGCATGGAAAATGTTGGCGCTAACAGGTTGGCTGGGGTGTCCAAGCCGTCACGGTCGACACCCGCCTCGAGAGGTCAGGCGGAACAGCGATTTCCATTGCCAGAGATAATATTTTGATTCTTTTTCGAGCTACATCGGGGTATGGCAGACGGTCATGCAACCTTGCGACGCCACCGTGTTTAGTTTGATCATATCTATTTGCGCCTTTTTCTGAAGAGTTCGAAGTGAACGAAACGAAACCCCTAGCTGTGATGATTATATTTTTCAAAAGGCGTTGCCCCAGCCTAGCCGCCGAGACCGGGACGATTAAGAAAGACAGCGCTACAAGCTTGAGGCGCATAGTCGCGGACGCGATTTACGCGTCTGAGCTATGCATACTATCCCGCTACTTGCTTACGATCGACGCTCTCTCGAATTACAACGTGAGCAGGTTATGGCCTCCCATTTTCACTCTAGTCCTTGTCTATCTGCAGTCCAACGACCAAGACGTTGGTCCGAAGGAGCTTCAATTGGCCAGAACCTTGACATGCAGACAATTCCAGTCTCATGAACGTTGTCATCACGGGGTTGTTTGTCAGTCCGCGCAATGAAGCGATGCTGCAGGCGAAACGATGTTGACGCGGTGCCGGTGCCAAGAGAATGAGAGGCATGGAGTGGTAAAGGGGTAGACACTCCGCAGGAGAGTTACCGTAGACCTGCGCTGACGATCTGGTAGTTAAATCTTGCGGTGAGGGTTGATGACACTTCATCAAGCAATTCATGGTGTGGCCTGCGTTGATCGAAGACGACCGCCGCTCGATCTACGCTGCGCAATCTTCTTGAGAAGCGGCGTGACGCAGTGTGAGGTTTGCCCTGATACCTCGCAGGTTACACCCTTAGAAGCAACGCACAAATGTCCGAAAGACGGGGAGAATACGCGAGGGAGACTTCCGACGCAGCTCAAAGGTCCGGGCGGCGCTGTTGCTTTCATGGCAGACGCGTGCAGGCATTGCAGATGGACTTATCTCGGACTTGCTCGTGCTGATGGTGCGAAGAACGATTTGCGATGGTGATCGGCCCGGTTAGTGCCGCTATTCGATTGTGCACGCACACCAGCCCGACTGTGTTGCCAGTGCGGGCAGACAAAAGAGTGATGACTGCGGGCAAAGTCGGTCAAAGCACCGAGAGCGAGCAATGACGTCAAATTATAGAGCTGCAATCACAATGCAAGCTTGGCTTTCTTCCCTCTGCGTCCCTTTTGCGTGCGCGATCAAAAGTCACGTAGCTGTCCCTGCCGTCCCCGAGAAGGTAAGCTTGGCCGCTGCAGCGTGGCGTAGCGCTAGCGAACAAGCTAGATAGGGTTATCGGAGACCTGCCCGAACTTATCGCGTGCGCGTACACGCGGGGATGGGCGTGGTTGAACAAGGCGCGCGGACTTTGTAAGCCCGTTGCCTAAAGTGGCGACTGCTGTAGACTCTGTGAAAGGAAAGCAAAGCCTACTATGTTGCAGTGCGCTTCGTAGTGAGGAGTCAACCCCTTTGAGCTGGGTTGTCCTTTCCCGAAGCAAAGCGATTGCAATGTTCCATCGTTCCTGGCGCCCCAGCCCCGCACCGAGAGGCCCGGAGTGAGGAGTGTACTTCGCTACTACTACCACTTCGGCGAGCGGAGGTCTACCAGAGGCAGCTCGGCGGAGGAGTCGGCAAAGTCGTCGGCATGCATTCTGCCGTGTTCAGGCAGGTCAATTGTAGCCAGTCGATTTCCACACTTTGCTTGTGGACGTTGGTGCGAGACTACAACCACAGACCCGAAATGTGAATCATCACGAGCGGTGCATTAAGGTAGGCATGCGAGCGAGAGGTAGTACACGAGGCCAACGTGCATACGCCCGCCCATTCTTGCAGCGGGAAGCAATAAGCCTTAGCGTGCGTGAGCGCACGAGCCGCCCACCTGCAATAGGCTCCGCTCCGAACGCCGCGGCTCTGCAGGCGGAGATCTGTTGCGCGCAGCAGCAAGCCGGCGGGCGAGGGTGCGCACGCCGATGACCGACTTGCTTGCCCGAGCTGATTTATTTGACTTGTGATTTGGGAGGGTGCGCAACCACGCAAAAGCCGTGGAACAGCTCAGCTAGGACACCATAGAGCAACACAAACGATTGTCACGTCCCCAATTCCGCGCCCATGGGGCCCGTCTATTCGTGGATCACTCGAGGCGTCAAGCAGACAGCAGCAATCACGAATTCAAAGCCCTCACGCCATTCGTGATTAGACGCGTTGACTAGCGCCGTATGTTCTCCCTTTTGGCGCTAGTGAACGTGCTGTGGGTGGGCAGCGACAAGGCAAGGCGAGGCTATCACAGTCACGAATGGCGAATCTTCGAAGAACCAAGTTGTAGCGCAGCTGGCCGAGAGGAGCGCCGCTTCGTCGCCCTGGCAGATCTTCGCCGCTGCAAGGCATCGCTGATGTGCGTGACTGCAGCTGCGGCCATTCCCATAGCGAACCCGCGTATTCGACTTTGGCGGGTCAGCAGGCTCAAAGGTATATAAGGGCGCTTCCTCCTGCTCGTCTCGAACTTCCTCCCCCCCCCATCTGACTTCTTCAGAACGCAAGCCACATCCTGACTTGATCGAAAGACAATCAATCCCCTTCGCGTCAGCATGGTCCGCATCGCCTCCTCCCTCATCGCCCTTGCGGCAGCTGCCACCTTGGCAGTCGCCTCTCCAGTCGAGAAGCGCGCTCCCGCCGGCGTTCCTGGCTTCGACATCAGCCACTACCAAGGTGCGTGAGGATGTGCGTGAATGTGTCAGTCAGCGTTCGCCTCGCTGACAGGCAATGCATCTGCAGGCACTGTCAACATGGCATCGCAAAAGTCCAAAGGTGCTCGCTTTGTCATCATCAAGGCCACGGAAGGCACGACCTACACCGACACTTCCTTCTCTGCCAACTACAACGGAGCCACGTCGGCTGGGCTGATTCGCGGCGCCTACCACTTTGCTCACCCCAACTCTGGATCTGGCGCTACGCAGGCCAACTACTTCATCGCTCACGGAGGTGGCTGGTCCAACGATGGTCGCACTCTGCCCGGCATGCTCGACATCGAGGTGCGCATGCCGCTTTGGTGTTTGACTATTGCTCGCTAGAGCGACTGCTGACCTGCCTACTCCGTTCTGTACCCCATCCAGTACAACCCGGGATCTGGCGGTACTTGCTACGGTCTATCTGCGGCTTCCATGGTCAGCTGGATCAGTGACTTTGTAAACACCTACCACAGCAAGACTGGTCGCTACCCCTTGATCTACACCACCAACGACTGGTGGAACACTTGCACTGGCAACTCCAAGGCTTTCAGCGCAAACAGCCCCCTCGTTCTTGCTCGCTACGGCGCCAGCTCTCCCGGCACCATTCCTGGCGGCTGGCCTTACCAGACTATCTGGCAATGGGCAGACTCTGGCACATTCCCCGGCGACCAGGATGTCTTCAACGGAAGCGAGGCCAGCCTCAAGAAGCTCGCTACCGGTTAATCGCCCTCGCGTCCGGTTCGAGCCATTGACTTTGCAAGACCATCATCAGAACGCTGACGTGCGCATCGGTCGCGATGCACACGCAATGTCTGATAACCACCAGAACGGCTCCTCTTACCATTTGTAGCTTCCACTAATCGCGCTCGTCGCTCACGCAATACGATCAGCGTACATTGACTTTCCTTGACAAGATTGACGGCAATGGTAGGACATGACTTTGGCGATCTAGGCCTGTCTCAACGGCCAACGAGTCGCAAATCTACGATTGGTAGTCTAGGGATGTGTCTGCTAACAATGCTCCGGTGACGAGGCTCAAGCGTGTGCATCGATGGGGATATTCGACCTTCAGCATTCCTTCGTCCGTGTCGTCATTCGAGGCCCGGGTGGGTGACAACTTTGCCAGCAAGTCGATGGCTGTGCCTTAGCGCCCTGCCTTGTTGGCCAAGTGATAGGCGAGCCAGACGCACGTAAAGTGAGCGGCGCTGGTATTCAAACGAGGACAGCAACTGCTGGCGTTGTTCTTGATAGTTTCCCAACCTCACGAAACCACGATTGTCCTCCCACACCCCAAAATTGGCGCTTCGCCGATCGTCGACGCTGTGAGAGGTGCGGCGTGAGGGTGCCAAGCGGCACGATACGACGCCGGGGTGGCACTGGCGCAATGAC